AAATCTTGCTTACCTTTAGCTGCTGGATTTCGCTGAAAAAGGTCTTCTGCTGAATATGTGTGCTGGTGTATGAATTACATCGACTAAATTCCATTTCCTGTTGACCTTGATTCTATTGAAAGCGCGCAACACAAAAGCTATGACTCGCAAAATGCGCGTATAGGATGAGAATTTGTTGATAACGGGGTCGAATATATCTTCCTTGCTACCACTATCGTTACATGTGAGGACTGTTGCTTTTCGCTGCTCCAACTCTTCATTGGTCTCCTGAGAATTTGGTACTGGTTGAGGCCATTCAGATAAGCCCTGACGTAAGAAGCTTGGTCCACGAAACCATGTAGTTTCCATAAGCTCGTACGCTTCGCCCGGAACGTTCCTCCAAGTAATGTTTGACGTGGTTGATTGCATCTCAGAAATCCGGTTGGCGGCAAAACAGCTTAGCCTCGACGAGTGCATGGTTAACCACTGAAAAAATGTTCTGGAATCTGTCTAAAAGAAAATGTTATTAATGTATTTTTCGAATTTTTGCTTAACATTGGCCCATGTTTGACACAATAAATGTGCGGCGCACAATTCTAGCCGCGGCAATGAAATTGCCTTTATTGGGGCCACTTTAGACTTGGCGATGATTAGCATTGATTTAAACTCTCCCCTGCCCTAGCAAATCGTACAAGTGAGCTACAAGTGAAGCGATGATCCTTGTGTTCCACTTTGCAAGCTCTAATCTAGCCTTAGAAAGTATGCTGGTTACCTCTGCAGCCTTGAGATGTAGCTCTTCGACAGTGTCTGCTCCAGTAAGGAGCTCATCGACGTACATATCTTCTTTAAGTACGGCTGCTCCGATGGGAAACTGATTAGAGAAATTATCCGCAATATATTTCAAGCTCATGATTGCTAGAAATGGTGCGCAGGACATGCCGTACGTGACTGTGTTGAGCTGAAACAATTCCAAAGGGGCAGCTGAGGATTCTCTCCAGAGAAGAAGTTGATACATACGATCGACTGGTGACACTTCAAACTGGCGATACATCTTGTAGATATCAGCTACAAGTGCATGACGATGTAAGCGAAAGACAAGAAGTGTTAAGATAAGATTCAGCTGGGGGCTTAGCCCAATCATCAACAACTCATTCAGAGAAAGGTTCGACGTTGTTTTGCACGATGCTTCAAACACAACACGCAGGTTGGTAGTCGTGCCTTCTGATCTAAGGACTCCATGATGCGGGATTACATAATGGGACTTTTGAGAGTCGAAATCATATGCCAATTGCATGTGATTCAAATCTATGTATTATCTCATGAATTGAACGTACAGCTACAGCGAATTGTAAATTGTTCTGACATCGCCTATGCCAGTAATGTCATACTTCTGTTTCTCGAATTTGAGCTGAAGGAGCTTGGCCAACTCTTCAGAAATGAAATTTATTTCAATACTATTGCCGTGGGAATTAAAGCGCGCCTCGAATGACGCGAAAGCATGGAAACAGCATGTGTGGGTTCCCGCTGTTGCTGAGATGTGTCGGAAACAATTTGTGTTGGTTGCTCTGGATGAGCTGTTCTATGCAGAATAGTTGATGTAAGCCTTGACAATCGCGACACCGAGACACCGACAAACAATTTATCCACAGAACGGATTGCTTGACGAAATTCAATTTATCCTGCCAGTCTAGTAAACCAAATGAAGGGCACTGAGTGAGAGTGATCAGTAGCAGAACATTTTTTACAACCACCCTGTGCCGTAACAAAGGCTCTCCTATTCTGCGTGGGCCTCTTCATTGACTTCTCATCAGATGATCGTTTGACGTTGCTCTCCAAATATTGACAATGACGGCTTAAACTGCGATAACAACCCTTCCAAGTAGGCAACACCTCGTATTCCTAAATCAATTTTAGATAAAACAAGATGAATTAGAATTGCGATCATAACTTCTGCTTCTGTTCCTAACGACAACAACGATTTACGCAGCGCGGAGGCGGTATCCAAGATACAGCGAAGAGCTGTGGGATCTGATCTTTTCATAATTTAAATATCGAATAAGCTAGAAATGTGCTCTATGAAATTCAAAACTTTTTTATCGTAGCGCTCCTTTAACTGCTTTAACGCCTTTGGATAATTGATTTCGGACACTTGAAAAGGTGCCAGACCAGACAAACAGCTAAGCAAGTAGTTAAATTTGTCAACAGCTGATATTGAAGCGTCATCATGTACCACGCTAGTAAAGGCAGTGATAAACTTCATGTAGTCACCATACTTGCCGGCCGTCGTCAGCCGCATACAGCCGTTCGATCTGTGATTGAATTTGAAGAATTTGTTTAAAATACGATTAAAAAATTTGTGACTGGCATTCAATGGCAGTAAGGTCATTTTGCGGTTCGATACGAGCTTTGAGATTATTCCTTTGCTGTCTTAAAGACACGAGTTGAGTATCAGTTAGTTATTTAGCGAAAACTAAGTGTGGAGCAATTATTGAGTGATGCAATACCTTATCCAAATATGTTGGCAATGCCCTTTGGCTCAGAGGGAAAAAACAAAACACTCCGATGCTTGGGAGAGTAACTGCAGCTGCACAATTATGTATACATATGGGCAATGCCCTTTGGTTGAGAGTGAAACTACAAAAAAGCTATTGCATTTGCGAGTCTAGCATACAGTTTTTCGTCCTCTTTCTGCCGCTGTTTCTGGCGATGATTCCGGTTATCCAACGATGCTTCCGGAGAGCCAACGAAGATGCCAACCGCACTGACAATAGTTCGATGAGCTGCAGAGGGAGTGGTCCCAAGTGTAAATAGAATTTATTGTGGGACTTGCCGAATGCAGAGTCCTATCGGTCGCCAAAATGTGAGGATTCTGCCCAAATGCAGAGTAATTAGAATAAACGTCCGAGTTGTTTCGATATCTAATATGCACTCATTTTTAATGTTCGATTTCGAGATTAAAAAAGAGAGATATGTACATGTGTGAGCTGCATTTCTAAGAGTGATATGATTACAGTGTGGGGTAGTTAAGTAGAAAAAGTTGGCAAGAATTTAAATTATTAGTCAAAAGTCAAAAAAAGAGTCAAAGTTATTTATAACAAGAGGGAATGCTATAGTCGAGTGCCGCGACTATAAGATACCCGTTACTGTTTTAAACAATTTTAAAATATTAAATTTGTTAGTGGAAATTCACAAGGCGCCACCTATTGTCAGAGAAAGCATGTTGAGTAACTGATTGTGACGTCACTGCCCATGTGAGGCCTTATAACCTAAATTTCTTCATAAACAGCAAAATAATGTTTCGATTTAAAAAATCTTTGGCAAATCGATAGACATTAACAGAAATAAGTTATACAAGGTCAAACGAAGGCATTCATAGTAATATTCTAGAATCCACAGTTTTCGGAGGTTTCTGGGCGTTAGAGTGGGCGTGACTGAATGAAAACTCGTTACAAGTTGCAAGATTTTTGAATTTTTGGTTTTCCGGGTTTCGTGGGCGTTAGGGTGGGCGTGGTTAGATGGGAAAAAATTAGTTTGCATTTGGGGCATCATAAAAACCTACATGCTTAATCCGAACTTTCTATCTCTTATAGTTACCGAGATATCAACTTTTCTAGAAAATGCGAAAACCATCTTTTGATCCTTGTGAGCGTATGGGTGGGTGTGGCCGGATAACATTGCCACTATAAGATGCGCTTATACATAATTATACATAATATACATGGTTAATCTCAACTTTGTATCTCTTATAGTTCCTGAGATCTCAGCGTTCATATGGACAGACGGACAGACAGACGGACAGACAGACAGACAGACAGACGGACATGGCTCAATCGTCTTCGCTATTCATTCTGATCAAGAATATATATACTTTATATGGTCGAAAACGCTTCCTTCTACCTGTTACATACTTTTCAACGAACCTAGTATACCCTTTTACTCTACGAGTAACGGGTATAATAATAATTAAATGAAATTTCCATTAACTTATGATGTCATCGAACAGACATTTTACTGGAAATTAAACAAATTTGGTACGTTTTGTCAGGTGATAAAAAATATGACACCGATGGAAATATTATTGCCATCAGCTCGATCTTTGGATGGATAATCACCTCTGTTGCAATGCCGCATTCATTAACCGCCAACACGCTCATTACTACTGTTGACATAAACGGCTCTCTTCAACGTTTTTGGGAAATCGAGGATAACACTGAGAATCCACAACGAGACCCTTCGCACGAAAAGGTGGAGAAGCACTTTCTGACCACACATTTACGAGATTCAGACGGCAAATAATTGCCTTTCAAACACGAATGCCAAGAGTTTGGAGATAGTCTGCAGGGCCACTGTCTCATGCTTGCTGTATAACGTCGCCTGCAGCGTGATAAGGAGCTATGCAAGCAATAATAAAAATTTATGAACGAATATCTAAGCCTAGGTCATATGCGTACAGATCTTAGCCCGGAGACATTTCTCGCTCCCCTGCGTAGTTTTATCTTCCGTCGAGGCAAATGTACCCACATATCCCCACAACGGTCGCAACTTTTGTGAGCAAATAAGGTGTTAGACGATTTGTATGAGCGTTTAGAATAAAGTATTATATATATATATATATATAATATAGAGCGATATCATGGCAATACGTGAACCAAATCCCCTTTAGCTTTTCAATTAAAATGGTTTTCTTTCTCGGTAATCTAACAAATATCCCTCGGAAATTTGTTGGATTCTGAAGTTACGAACTAATCCGTCTAGTTACAGGAAAGAGGCTAACAGGTCTTCGATAATCTATTTTCTTTAAAAGACTTTTTATTCACATCCTTATTACTATTTCACCGAAATTATCTTGGGTCTTAGGCTTACTTTTGTAGGTCAAGGAACGTTTTTACCAAATAGTTTTTGGTTCAGTAGCAAGGTATATAAATATAT